TCCAGGAGGACCCGAGCACAGAACCTATCACCCGCAGTGGGGTATGGGAAACAAAACAAACAGCATCAACAACCAGTAGTTCAAGACATTTCCAGCCTTGTACTACATTTCCCAGAGGGCACAGGGCCCGAGTGAATCTCAGCAGCACTGGTCACGGGTTCGTCTGCGTCTTCCTCGGCTCGGCGCCCTCCTGTGCTGTCGCCGGCTGCTTGGTGTCTGGTTACGGAGACAGGTGCATTTCCCCCCTCCTCCGAGGCACCCCCCATCCCTGCTGACCGGGGAGCTTAGCGGATCTCAGAGCCCCTTCCCTACCCCCCCCCCACCTCAAGGACTCGAGGACGGTGAGCCCCCCTTTCCCCAATCCATGCGGGCTGCAGATTTTCCGCGGGGAAAGAACGCGGGCTCGGAGCTGGGGGGTGTGGTGGGGAGAGCTTAGGGCTTGGTGGAGGTGGGTGGGGGAGTGGGGGGTTTTGTTCATTCTCCTGGGGTGCAAGATCGACCTTGTGTATGTAGCAGTAATTTGATGCGGGGGCCCAACTTGGTGACGCAGCTATTTGGGATCAGCTTGCAAAAGGGTGAAAAAAATCAAAGGGTAAAATTGGAGGTGGGACACTCACCCTAGAGTGAAGGACCCCGAGTGAAATCCTGAGGATTGAGTATGGGGGGGGGGAGCTGTTGAAGTTGCGCAGAATGAATAAAACGGTTCTCTCAAAAAAAAAAAAAAAGGCAAAGGAGCCAGGCGCTGGTGGCTTCTGCTTGTAATATTAGCTATTTCAGGAAGCTGAGATCTGAGGATTGAGGCTGGAAAGTCAGTGAGTATTTTACCTCCAGTACCAACAAAAAGCTGCAAGTGGATGTGTTGCTCAAGAGATAGAGTGCCAGCCTTGAGCAAAAAAGCTGTAGGACCATGCCCAGCCCCTGAGTTCAAGCCCTAGTACTGGAAGGAAAAAAAGAAAGAAAGAAAGGAAAGACAAAAGGCTGCTTTCATTGTGGCTTGTTGATTGTGAGACCTACCTATAACCAGATTGAAACTCAAACATTCTAGCCTTCCCTCTCCTTCCTCAAAGCAGCCTGTAAGGGTGGGGGCAGGAATAGAGGTATGAGGCTGGGGTCTCACCAGTCTTCAAACAATGTACCTCATGCGCCCATTTAACCCTGTCCTGCCATTTTCCAAAGAAGTCTGGTAAGAGGGCTGAGAATGTGGCTTAGTGGTAGAGTGCTTGTCTAGCATGCACAAAGCCCTGGGTTTGATTCCTTAGTACCATGGAAACAGAAAAAGCCACAAGTGGTGCTGTGGCTTGAGGGATAAGAGTGCTAGCCTTGAGCCAAAGCAACCCAGGGACAGTGCCCAGGCCCTGAGTTCAAGCCCCAGGACTGGCAAAACAACCCCTTCCCCCCCCCCACAAAACAACCCTTTCTCCCTCCCCTCCTCAAAAAAGAAGTCTGGTGAGAGGGAGAGAATGGTGGCTGCATATCTAAATTTTATTGCCTCCATTTCAGTCCATAAATCATATCTCATTTTTCAGGGCATGGAAACAATCTGGTATCCTTTTGAAATAAAACATATCCACTAACCTATAACTTCAATCTTCCTTCCAGACTGCATGTCAGAGGTCTTGAAAACAGACCCCATTCCCATTA